GGGTGGGGTTAAATTATGGGGAATCAAATTCAAAATGGGAATTGACACTGTTACTTTTTGCTGATGATACTGTGCTTATGGGAGATTCTAAAGAAAAATTGCAAAGGTTAGTGGATGAGTTTGAGAATGTGTGTAAAGGTAGAAAGTTGAAAGTGAACATAGAAAAGAGTAAGATGATGAGGGTATCAAATGATTTAGATAAAGAAAAATTGGATATCAAATTGGGAGGAGGAGTATGGAAGAAGTGAATGTTTTTCAGATACTTGGGAGTTGAAGTGTCGGCGGATGGATTTATGAAGGATGAGGTTAATCATAGAATTGATGAGGGAAAAAAAGGTGAGTGGTGCGTTGAGGTATATGTGGAGTCAAAAAAACGTTATCTATGGAGGCAAAGAAGGGAATGTATGAAAGTATAGTAGTACCAACACTCTTATATGGATGTGAAGCTTGAGTGGTAAATGCAGCAGCGAGGAAACGGTTGGAGGCAGTGGAGATGTCCTGTCTAAGGGCAATGTGTGGTGTAAATATTATGCAGAAAATTCGAAGTGTGGAAATTAGGAGAAGGTGTGGAGTTAATAAAAGCATTAGCCCAGAGGGCAGAAGAGGGGTTGTTGAGGTGGTTTGGTCATTTAGAGAGAATGGATCAAAGTAGAATGACATGGAAAGCATATAAATCTATAGGGGAAGGAAAGAGGGGTAGGGGTTGTCCTCGAAAGGGTTGGAAAGAGAGGGTAAAGGAGGTTTTGTGGGCGAGGGGCTTGGACTTCCAGCAAGCGTGCATGAGCGTGTTAGATAGGGGTGAATGGAGACGAATGATACTTGGGACCTGACGATCTGTTGGAGTGTGAGCAAGGTAATATTTAGTGAAGGGATTCAGGGAAACCGGTTATTTTCATATAGTCGGACTTGAGTCCTGGAAATGGGAAGTACAATGCCTGCACTTTAAAGGAGGGGTTTGGGATATTAGCGGTTTGGAGGGATATGTTGTGTATCTTTATACGTATATGCTTCTAAACTGTTGTATTCTGAGCGTCTCTGCAAAAACAGTGATAATGTGTGAGTGTGGTGAAAGTGTTGAATGATGATGAAAGTATTTTCTTTTTGGGGATTTTCTTTCTTTTTTGGGTCACCCTGCCTCGGTGGGAGACGACCAACTTGTTGAAAAAAAAAAAAAAAAAAAGTTATAATATTTTTTTATTATTCTATAATGAAGATAACATCTTATTATCATACTAAAAAGACTATCTACTACACGAGGGTCATTAAAACTATCTACAATACGAGGGTCACTATCTACAATATGAGTGACATACTACTGTATAGAAAGGCACTTGTTATGCTGAGTATTTCAAGAAAATTAGGTCAGTGTCCCAGGATAACACCCACAGTAGTCGGCTAACACCCAGGTACCCATTTACTGATGGGTAAACATAGACAACAGGTGTAAAGAAACACACCTAATGTTTCTACCCTGGCTGGGAATTGAATATTTACCAAAAATCATATATGGCTAATCCAAGCCAGGTACTAAAAATAAGCCACGTTGACTTTTTTGGGGTTACCCTAGGTTCTCTATACATATGCTGCTGTGTGAGATAATCTATAGAGAGAAAATAACTTTTTTGTTTCGTGTTTATAGTGGAGTATGAGTGTATATCATAGTTAGCCCTGTGCTATACTCTGTTTTCTCTAATATAAGCCACCAAGACAAGGATAGGAGAATGGTATTTGTTTACCATATCCTCTTCATACCTTCGTCGAACTGCTCGGTGTTATGCCAAATATTATTCATTCTGGAGTATTTAACATGTTTTATGTTATTTATATTGTTTCTTATGTCATATTAGATCAATTGTGATAGGCAAATAAGCTGTAGTGTTGATATTAGCGTAATAATAAAGCATATTCTCCTGCTTCATGAGACCGAGCTCATGGCAACCGACAGTGGCTTCAAAGCCACCTTATCTTTAATGGATAATGTAATGTGTAGGTGCTTTACATAATGAGAAGCATTTCTTTTATTCATGGGAACCATGGCTAGGGCTAAAAGTAAGCAGGTTAAAACAATAAATGGAGAAAAAGAAATTGGAATGACTTATGCAGCAAGTAGCGCCACCAAACAGTCCCAGCAGGTTGGTGTGGCGACCCTGGAAATTTGAAATTATGCTAGCCAAAATTAGTGCCGAATAACTGAAGGAACCGAATAACTGATTGCCGGATTTGTGATGGTGGACCTGTACGTAGTACTTAAATTTGCCAAAAGATCTCCCAGTTATCTAAATCTTAACACTTCAAAATTCATACATAACTTAATATACTACATTGTAGTATAAATACCTGCCCAGAACTATACTGCCTTACACCAAATTGTAGCATTCTAATACTGTAAACTATTTTCACCAATGCTCAGTATTATATTCCAGTAATATAATTTAAGTATTTACTATTTATATACACAATCTACAAAATACTCTCAACTTGTCCCAGTGTAATATCCCCAGATTGTAATTTGAGGAAACTTATTGTCTGCTATAAATAAAAACAGATCTACAACTTAAACTATGATCAATTTCTCTAATATTAAGTAGTCTGTAAGCCATTAAATTTAGTCTGCCCATAATGCCATGGCATGATAGTGGCTCTCTTTGCACTGCAACTCATTATTGTAATTACAGAATCTCAATGTAAACTTGCAAGGAAATAAAAATTGTATTGTATGGTGTAAGATTAGTGTCACTCCACTGCTGACAGTGCAGCAGTGGTGACATTTGATGAGCATGCACTGCCTTGGCTTTGTTTTCACTTTTACACATAAGCATGTCTGTCTGTCTGGCTCTCTGTTTGTCTCTGCTTATCTGTCTCTCTGTCTGCTTGTCTCTCTTTCTGTCTCTCTGCTTGTTTTCTCTGTCTCACAGAGTCACTCGTGAACCAACAGGCATTACACACGATGCAGTTGTCACGTCTGATTCCTGAACAACTGAAAATTCATATTACTTGCCAGTCATGCTTACTATGCGTTATATCTACAAGCACAGTATAGCACTTTGTCTGGATTTTTGGGGGTTATCCTAGGTAATTTACACTATGTATAATTGTGTTTATGTGTACCTCTGAGACAGAGATAGACAGAGACAGGGAGATAGAGAGATAGACAGAGATAGAGACAGATATAGATACAGACAGACAGATGGAGATAGAGACAGCCAAAGTCAATCAGCCAGCCAGCCAGCCGCCGGACAGCCATGTTGTTTACACATACCCACACTTCCCCACCACAGACGCTCCCTTCCTCACTCCCTACACTGCCTTCCCTACTACCCACACTGTCTTCCCCACCAACTATGCTGTCTTCCCCACCCCACCACAGACACTCACTTCCCCACTACCCATGCAGCTTTCCCCACCACCCACATGCAAATAAGTCACTTTGTCTGAGTTTATAGTGGAAGGTGAAAGGTTGATAATCGTCTGGGTTTTCAGCTCTATTTCTGGTATCCTGGTCATTATGGTCACAAACCCCTCAAAACCATTAGATTCATCTTCATTGACACTTTAATCTGTGTTAGAACTATTACTTAGGAAGGGAAGAGTCCCAATTTACCAGAGAGTGATGTATTCCTTATTGCTTGTCTTGGTGACCAAGGCGCACTGAATTACCACTCCCACAGTGCAATGCGGGTGCCCTGATTTTTTAAAAACTGCGCACACTCACCGCACAGACCTTTTCTCTCACGTAGGCCTACCAGCTTTCTCCTGCTCAATATGAAGGTGCTAGAATTTTGGCTGTTAAGCCGTACATGTATGGGGCCGACCCTGAAAGGGTGTACTCTGTGTCAAAAAATTTTCAAAAAAAAAAAAAAAAAAGATTTTTTCTCATGAAATGATAGAGAATCCTTTCCTGATTGTAATGACACCAAAAAGTACGAAATTTGATGGAAAACTTATGATGTTACGCTCTTGCGAAGTTAGCAATCTCGGCGATATTTACGCATCAACGATTTCGCCCACTTTGAGCCCCATTTTCGGCCAATTCCATTGTTTCAGTTGACCAAAGTCATAGCTATTTTGCTAGAACTCCATTTCTTCTATTGACTGAGTACAAGAAACTGCCCAGTTACTGATTTCAACTAACCAATAAAGTGGTCGGAAATTGGCAATTTGGCCAATTTCACACAAATTTCAGAAGATGCCAATTTCAAAATAGGGTCCAGAATAAACAAGGCAGACATTCCTAGCACTAAAATGATGTTTTCTCTGTTCATTAGTCACGTCTCCAGGCCCTTCTTTTATTATTCTTGCTTTCCATTTTGAATTTTTATTCTCACAAAAAATAGAAGATTTACTGTTATGCAGACTACTGCATTATGATGATAATTGTATAAATAATGTCAACCCATTTGTGACTGTGTATTAGACTGGCCAGTTGGACGCGTATTAGACGTCATTTGTTTACTCTTGAACATCGGCAAAAATCGAACATTTCCGCTACTTTAAGCTCAATTTCAAGGTACTTTTCATCGTGAAACCAATCAAAATCATCTCCATTTCTGAAATGTGTTTTCCATTCTGTCAAATGAGACCAAGAAAACGAGAATACAACCATAGATACGATATGAAAATACATCGCAAAGTCGCTGTTTTAAACCAAAAACACAGTCGGATATTTTTTTTCTCATGCACTACGTGCGGCAGGATTTTTTTTATACTGTGCATACTGACCATGCAGACCCATTCTTTCATATGTAGGCCTACCAGCTTTATTCTACCAGATTTGAAGGAGCTAGAATTTTGGCGTAGTATTACTGGACTGACACTGGCTCTCAAGTCGTAATATTACGGGACTGACACTGAAAGGGCTAAATGGTTTTCAGTAAGCAGATGCACCTGGAAAATTGTGCTCTTGTAATTATTGGTAATCACTAGATGTATTGTGTTCTTTATATTTAAACTACTTTTTTTCTTATAAAATATACAGATTTTCTTGCATTATTAATTTTCAGTTGTAACATGAAACTCAACTTGGACTACCTTTTGGAGAGAATGTGGCAAGAGCTGTCTCTTCTACGTATATACACAAAGAAACCTGGGAGAGCTCCGGATTTTTCTGATCCCATTATTCTTCGTGGAGGGGCTACAGTAGAGCACGTCTGCCACTCCATTCATCGATCTATTGTAGCTGTCTTCAAATATGCATTAGTCTGGGTATGTGTTGAGCATTGTTACTATTTTATGTACAGTAGACCATTGATTAACATGGGAGTTATGTTCCTGAAAATTGAGTGTAAAATGAAATCGTGTAACACATACTGAAGAACTCATCGGAAAAATAAGGTTAGGTTCTTTGTACCTCCCAAAATTGCCAAATAACTATTTTTTTAGGTCTTCAAATCTCACTTATTGTTCATTGTTGTGATGTATTATGTTTAATGCATTGCTTAAGGCTACAAATGTTAAAGAAATAATGTTTTTTATCTTAAATTGTAGTTGCTGGTGTTTGTCGATTCTGAAGAGAGTGGAAAGAGATGCTGTGGCCCTACTGGGCTGAGGTGGATGGGCATTGATTGTCAGCTGAGGTGGATGGTTTTTGATTGTCGATTAAAGTGGATGGTTGAGGCTCTGGCTCTGAAGTTTATGGTTTTACTGGAGAATGAATAAATTCTGTAATACATCTCTGGTCTCTGTTACCTTTCAGTACTTTATACTATTGATGGTAAGGCATCATCAGCTGCTCTAAAACCCATTTCAGAGCAGTGCTTCTAGATTTGTCAGGGTCCTCTTCAGTAAAAAAGTGTGCTAATTATAGTAGCAAATTGGAACTGCTCACAGTTGTAATGTTAACTGCTTTTCTTCAGGTTGTTGTTCTTCTTCCTCTGTTATCTGCCTCCCTTATATATGTGCATTGAGCTTTGCCAACATTTCCTCTGGATTTGTCATCTTCATTATCTTGTAAGAGTTCATTCATATCTTCCTGTATATCTTCAAAGCCATCACCTGGTAATTTCCTTGCCAGCTGAACTATTTCCTGCACCTGACTGAGGGAAAACCAGTAAGAGAATTCACTACACTAGGCCATAATTTTCTTCAGCCTGCTTTGATGTTGACTGGGGAACTTCATTCCATGCACTTCAATCATAACTGATGACATCTGCAATGTTAAATTTATTCCAAAAGTTTAGTACTGCCAGGTTGGGGTTCATTGATGCAACTAGTTTTTTCAGCACTTTTTGTGTGTAGTTACACTTGAATGACTGCATAACTCCATGATCTAGTGGTTGTATTAAAGATGTATTTTAAGGTAAAAATACAGTTCTTACTTGTGGGTTCACATCAATGAAACTTTTTGATGAGTACAGGAATTATCAAAAGTGAAGAGAACCTTGAATGCAAGGTTCTTGCTGCACATGTAAATCATGATTTCAGGAATAAATTATGCTTCAACCAGTCAATAAATCCTCTGTCGTCCATGCTGAGCAGTTTTACCTCCAAATTACTGGTAAGGTGGTTTTATATACACCTTTCAGAGTACGAGGAGTCTTAGGGCGGTATATAACCATGGGCTTACACTTGCAGTCACCATGCCTTACCTCAAAGGAGCATTGTGAAGCAATCCTTAGCTGCCTTGAATCCTGGAGCACTTTTCTTCTGCTGACTGATTAAGTTTTTGTTGGCACTTACACCCAATACATACCTCATCAGCATTAAACACTTGCTGTGGCTTATATCCTCAGAAATAATTTCCTGCAATTCAACAGAAAGTGACAACCTGGGTTATTCATTACACAGGCCCATATATTTGAATAATTCTTTTTAACCCTTTAATTGTGTCTGATGAACTAGTACGCAGGTGTTGGTACTGTGTCTGATGTACTAGTATGCACCATTTTTTGTACTCACAAATCCAATGTTTTTTACGTCGGGGCAGCTCTTTGGGTCTTCTTCCATCTATTCATGCATTTGAAAAACATCTAAGTCCAGCAGTGTCCACACAGTGTATCATGATTAACTACTCAGAGGATGACTGTATGTCTGACATACTAGTATGTTCCACCACCAGCTGTTCCACCACCAGCTTCCCTACCAGCAAACAGGGTGTGCAAGTGACTCAAAGATGACTTATTCAGTCCAGAGTTATTGCAATTTCTTGATACTAACAGTGGAATTCAACCACAAAGCACACTAGGTATATAACCCAGGAAATTCAAACTGTGAATGATTTCCATATTTTAATGAGTAATACAATCAGAAATAATTGTAATACAGCCTCTTGTCACTTACCAACATACTTGTTTATTGACAACTCGGAGTTATGACGGGCTCTCCGACGAGTCAGTATTGTATGCTGTACGAGAACTTGGGTCACGGAAATGGGCAGCACAGCGTCTTAGCATCAAGCATCTCAGTCTCCTTCTTACACCCATAGTACGAGATAGAAGTGCAGCAGCACTTGGAAGAGGAAAATGGAAGAAGTACAAAAGAAGTTCATTGTGAAGGGGTTAGTGACGAGTCTCAGTATCAAGCTATCTCCAAAATTACATGTTTCATCTATAAATTTGTACTTGATTGTGCACCCCATAGTACAAGATAGAAGTGCAACAGCACTGGGAAAAGGAGAGAGAGGAAAATGGGAAGAAGTACAAAAGAGGTTCATAGTAAAGGGGTTAGCTGGTGTGTTCGTGTGTGTGTTTACATTCTCGGTATCTCTCGTGGCAGCTTAATTAAGAAATGATTAAACTCAGTGAACAAGGTATGTTGATGATGATGATGATGATAATAATAATAAAAATATTGATAACAAAATATAATTAATAATCGCTCTGGGGCACTTTAAATGACATACGTGTTTCGTATAGGTTTGGTAGGTGACATTTAAAGCACTCCAGAGTGATTGTTATTATTAATTATTATTATTATTATCATTATCATTATTATTATTATTATTATTATTATTATTATTATTATTATTATTATTATTATCGCCATACATATTTTGTGTAGGTTTGGTAGCTGACATTTAAAACATTCCAGAGTGATTATTATTATTACTGTACTATTATTATTATTAGTATTATTGCCATCGACATACCTTATTCACTGAGTTTAATCATTTCTTAATTAAGCTGCTACAAGAGACACAATGTAAACACAATTGAACACACCAGTTAACCCCTTTACTGTGAACTTCTTTTGTACTTCCATTTTCCTTTTGGTTAATAGTTTTTGTTCTTAGTGCTTTTCATTTCATATCCATGGGGAAGTGGAATAAGAATCATTCCTCTGCAAGCCATGCGTATTGCAAAAGGCAACAAAAATGCCCGGAACAATGGGCTAGTAACCCCTTTTTTCATATAGCATACTAAAAAGAAAAAGAAGAAAACTGTCAAAGTGGGATGTTTGAATGTGCTTGGATGTTGTGCGAATGATAAGAAAGAGATGATTGTGGACGTTACGAATGAGAAGAAGCTGGATGTCCTGGCTCTAAGTGAAACAAAACTGAAGGGAGTAGGAGAGTTTCACTGGGGAGAAATAAATTGGATTAGGTTAGGGGTTTCAAATAGAGTTAGAGCTAAAGGAGGAGTAGCAATAATGTTGAAGGATAAGTTATGACAGGAAAAGAGGGAATATAAATGTATAAATTCAAGGATTTTGTGGTGTAAAATAATAGTTGGATGTGAAAAGTGGGTTATAGTAAGTGTTTATGCACGTGGAGAAGAGAGAAATGTAGAGGAGAGAGAGAGATTTTGGGAAATGTTGAGTGAGTGCATGGGGAGTTTTGAACCAAGGAGAGAGTACTTGTGGTTGGGAATCTCAGTGCTAAAGTGGGTAAAAATGTTGTGCCAGGGGTAAATGAAAATGGGGAGCCTTTTACCCTTTCAGGGTCCGTCCCGTAGATCTACGGCTTTACGTTCAGGGTCCAAACCGTAGATCTACGCCAAAATTCTAGCGGCGCCAAATTTAGCACGAGAAGGCTGGTAGGCATACATCTGAGAGAATGGGTCTGGGTGGTCAGTGTGCACACCGTAGAAAAAATCTGGATGCCCGCATGGCATTGTGGGAACGCCGGCAAAGTAGCTTTGTTCATAGTGCCTGGCGGCGAGGAAGCTCTCACTCCCCACTCACTCTCGGGGCGAATTCTGACTCTCCTCTTCACAACTTACAGTTCTAAGACTGATGGAAGTGGAGCTGAAGATGAATTCTATGGTTTTGAACCATATGGTACCATTGTGCCATATGGTACAATGGTACCATATGGTACAATGATGCCATGTCATACAATGGTATCATATGGTACAATGGTATCATATAGTACAATGGTACCATATGGTACAATGTACCATATAGTACATTGTACCATATGGTACATTATACCATATGGTACAGGGACCCTATTGGAAATAAGTCTGTCTAACGGTTCTCCAAACATATGCTGCTAAGTATGATATGCTATGTAACTTTATTTGTGTATACCTAAATAAACTTACTTATGATGCTACATGCACTTGAGTAAGTTTATTCAGGTGTACAGAAATACAATTACGTAGGTTATCATACATAACAGCATACATATAAAATCTTAGGATAACCCAAAAAAGTCAGGGTGACTTATTTCAATAGTTATCCCTGTATCTGTACCATATGGTGTCCTGTACTGTATGGTACCCTGTACCATATGGTACCCTGTGCCATATGGTACCCTGTGCCATATGTTATCCTGTACTGTACCGTAACATATGATACCGTGTACCATATGGTCAATAGGTGTTGGTGGCTTGAGACACCAGCCAAGACTGAGTGACTGGCGATGCAAGCTAGCTACTGACTCCGCAGTTTCCGAGACAAAGTGCTTTGTCATCCACCTCAAGGAACACGTCAGGTTCCTGTACACTTGTAAATATATAATAGAACATTACTAATATACAACATTTTTGCATATTTTTGTTGTAAACAACTATTGTAAACAAAATAATAATGAAAATATTAGTGTTTATTGTGTTGAATACAAAAAGTACCATATGGTACAAAGAACGATATGGTATCATTGTACTGTATGGTACAATGTACCCTATGGTACCATTGCATCAATATGGTACCAAAGGTACCATTACACCATACAGTACCATAAGGTACCATTGCACCATATGGTACCATTGTATCATATGGTACCATTGTACCAAATGGTGCCATTGTACCATATGGTACCATTG